ATGGGAAAACAAACACGCAAACAAAACCCACAGTGTCCTGTGGAAAGTATTTCCTAATAAAAAGACAAAAGACAGTGATTCATTTACTGTTAAGTGACATCTTAAATCAAATACCAAATGACATTCTTTTTTTCCCTTAAAAACTCAGTATTATTCTCTGTAAGGATGTTATACACCCTTCTATGACGTGGTGTGAATATGAGGGATGAAGGACAGCTTGCCCATCTCAACTAATTTTGGCAGTTTCAGTTTGATGTTATATTTTCACTTTATATTCTGTAACTCTTCAATAAATTTGCAGTTTTCACAGCTTTCTGTGTTCAGGCTCTCAAAGGTGGCTGCGCTTTGATGATAAAGCTAATGCTTAGATTTTTACACAGTATCTATCATAAGTAGAAGACCATGCACCTTCCAGAGTAGGTCAGTATCATTTTTTTATCATGATTTTTCCTTACTCTTGCAGTTGATCTGTCCTGATTTTTGAATAGGCAAAATGTAGTCCTTGGTGATTGCAAGTCACTGCATCCTTATGTCCCTTCATATTTTTGTCTATTTAAAATATTGATGATATTTCAGAAGGGATAATTAAGTTAAATTTCTAAGTGATGGTGAAGCGCCATTAAGATCTTTGGGTAGGAAGTGCTTACTGACAGTCACAACAATATTATTGTTCTGCTACAGTATTCTGGACTGCTCTTGAAATACTGATACCAAGCCCAGAGAGCCATGACTCACTGGTTGCATCAACCTCAATGGATCAACGAGGTAAAGAGAGCTGGTTTTAAAAAGGTCACTTTTCATCAGCTTCCATGCTGCTCTGCTGTGGCACGGGCAGATCCTACATTTGCAGCACCCTTTTGGTTTTTATATTCCCTACATCAGATTCCACCTTGATAGCAGACTTGAAATGTACTGAGTTGCTTTCCTGCAATGTGGGTCCTGGAAAAATGCAGCTGCACTGCACTGCAGCCAGTGGTAAACACTCCCAAAAAACATGTTCCTGTAGTCATACATCCATAAGCCACCATCATATAACCTCTCCTAAGGTTCCTACTGTAGATCTATGCTGGTCCTACTAGCACCAGGACTAGCTAGCCCAGATATCCCTGTTATTTGCTGGGATCTCACACCCACCCACTTCCATTTCCTGAAACAGCACACCGAGGAGCATGATGGATCACACAAGTCCATGCCCAGACTTCTGTTTGGTTTGTGTTTGGATAAACAGCTTTTCACATCACACAGGTTTGTGTGAACATCTCCAGACCCTTGCAATGTGTATGTAATGTGACTTGATACAGAAGCCTCATTTTGGCGGTGTTCAACATTTTCATCAGCATTTCAGTATTGAGAGGTCCAAGTGCTTACAGCGAGAAAGAAAAGAAGAAATGGGTGTGCTGAACTGAGGATGGGAAATGATTACTCACCAGAAATGTGAAAGGGATTAAGGCATGTGACCATGATGGGGTGAAAGCTTTTAAGAAGTATTTGGTCCTTGATTTTCCCTGTGAGACAGCCATAAAGGTACAGGGGAAGGGGTAAAGGGCTGGTGAAATAAATGCTCCTGACAGGTGGGTATGCCTCTGTTTTGCTGTTATCAGAAATTCTTGGCCATGTTTCACTGGGTTTTCTCAAGAGAGAAAGGCCCTGCTTAGCAGAGTGGTAATACATTTAAAAGGCAGGGCCAGTGTCAACTCTCCTTAGTTTACAAGCCCCTCCCCATCTTAGTTCTTCATGGAAGCTTAAAGTGTGGCCGTCCATGCTTTCTACACTGTGCTTTCCTCCAGATTTTAATCACTCTTACCCATTAGGCTTGTATTCAATGATTTCTCACCCATTTCCTGTTCCTTTCCCCAAAATGAAAGATGGAGATTAAGCTTGATGTAAACTCTTACATGATGCCAAATGATCCCTTAAAAGGTTCCCACCTTGACAAAAGGTGTGTAATTTTGTGGGTTCTAGGTGATGGGTATAAAAGGGAGAAGAGTAGGAAATTTGAACAAAACTGACTGCAGAGTTTATTTTGTCTAGAATATAAGAACCAGTTTTCTAAACAGAGCACCAACCAAAGCAGATGGTATTCTGCTCTGCTGCTATCCGTACTGAGGCCAGGGGTCTGTGGAAGTGAGGGGATGGCCTTTAATGAAGGTGTAGGACATCTCCTAAGGTTTTTACTGCAGATCTGTAGATTTGATCCTAACAGCACCAGGATCAAGTAGCCCAGACATCCCTGTCCATTGCTGCCTCTCTGCTGGGATCTCACACACACCTGCTTCTCGTCTTAAAACAGCAGCTGAGGAGGTAAGGGGACAGTGGGGGCTGCAGGAGGGAATTAGCTGCTCTGTGGGACCCCAGGTAGTAGATAGATTTTGATTCCTATAAAAAGAGGGAAGAATGATCCCTCACACTGAGAAGGCAGAGTGCTGAAAAAGGAGAGGAACTCCTGTCTAACCGCAGTCCTTTGAGTTCTCATTCACTCCCTCATCTTCTTCCCAATTTGCCTTTTACTACACCAGCCCTAGATATCCTACTGACTTTTCCCTATGCTCTTCTTCATATCCTCAGAACCAGCTTAATGTTGCACATTTGAGTGTTGTGTATACCACAGAGATATCCCTAACGGTTTCTGAATGAGCTTCTTGGTGAGTAGTGTGTTGGTTTTGTTGATTTTCCTTAGAATTGCATTACTGCTCGATGGTGTCATGCATGGAAAACTGCCTTTTTTTTTGTGAGAACATCCTGTCACAAATGAAGTTCCATATGTAAGAAAGTGAGTCACTAGAATCCCAAATCTAGTAAGAAAGTGTGTGGAGAACTGATGCTTCTCCTCTGGCAGTGTTTTTCATAGGGTGAGATGAAACTGTCATCTAGTGGTCATAACAGTTGTTCCTGACCTACCATTTTCATTTGGATATAGCTGGAATGTTTCTTATGGATGTATTGCCTAAAAATGCTGACCTAAATACATATATACTTCTTAATATTTCTTTTAATAAATGTTGTTTTCCCTAAAAAAAACCAAAAAGCATTTCTTTAGCATTCCCTTGCCAATACACTTATACTCTAGATTTGCATGAGGAAATTATTTTTTCATGAGGAAGTCCTTTCTACATCTAGAGGTAGGTGACTATGTCAATGCTCATGTGAAAGTCATCCAGCTCTAATTTCTGTTGCCAATAGGATGAAAGTAGAAGCTACTGTATTCATTTTAATTCACGATTGGAAATAAGCTGGGCAGAACTACAGAGCAGTTACACACTGAACCAGAAGGGTTCAGTGGACAGCTACAGTGCGCAGCAGGATAAGTAGTAAACTACAAATATGAGTAGGTGATACTGGCAGGAGAATGTAGTTGTAAGTCCTAAAACTTACTGGGATGCAGAGACAGGGTAATATCTGAAACACCACTTTTAATGGATTCTGTTGTTAGGAAAGCATTTGAAGCAGGTAAGTGATGATACAATGACCTTTCTGCTACAATTTGCAACCTGACGAAATCTTACATGCTGCTGTAATGAGTGATGAAGGGCTTGACTTTGTTCCCATGAAATAATTTCTGGTGAAGAAGGCCCAAGAATTGATGTTTGCACAGAAGCTAAGTTCACTCTCAGGATTTGTAATGCATGCATTCTTTTAGCACTGCCGGTGCCATCTTAGTCTGGAGAAGGCCTGCTGCACTTCAATGAGCAGCTGCTCTGCGGATGGACAATAGCACAGAACCTGCTGTCTTGATGTGAGCTTGGTGCTCGGGACTCTATAGTCGTAAGATAATCATGTTTACAACTGCCCAATTAGAGCTGGAATGGCATCTGCAAATTGTCAAGTGACTGGAATGTGTCTGTGAAGATAAAATATATCAGCAAAGGTGGGAGACACAAATTTAACAAAATTAAATGTTTCAGCAAGAGATAGCACTGGTAGATGTGGTTAAAGACAAAACCTTTCTTTATGGGAGGAGCTAAAAAGCTGCTGTCTTTCTTCCTGTGACTTTGCAACATGCTGGGGAATTTATAGGGCAGACTTGCCTGACTGCTAAGAGACAGTCAACACAGTACTTTTGCGTGGAGGGTGACTGCAGTACAATAGCAGCACATTGCAAAGAGAAGTAGCAAGTACACTGATAGAGAAAGAAAAGTGCAGGAAGGGACTTTCTCCTCTAGACCTTCTGTACTGCTAGGCACAAAGAACTTATAGTATATGTGTGTATACATAAGACTCAACTCATATTTATCACAGTCACAAACCAAAATCTTGTTTTCTGCCCATAGCAGGCCTGAATGTGGAACAAATTAGAGGACAGGAAATAATCAACCAGTTAGCAAGTTAGCAACATCCAGCTCTGAAACACCTGATCTCGTACAGGGTAATAGGTCTGCAAAGGAGTATAAAACGCTACACCTACACGGCAGGTTAGGAGATAGTATGCTTCTGTAAATGTAACATATTACATATAAACTATCAAGAAGCTACTTTCAAGAGCTGCTGTCTCATAGGATGAACCCCACTTTATGATCACTGAACAACATAAATGACTTTCTAGTCCACAGAAAAAAGTCTAAGAACTGATGGCACTCTTTTTTTGGGTGGGAGAAAGGACATTGGACGCTGTTACACCTATTTTAAGTGGTGAATTTTAGGGGATTATGACTAAGTTGACTGACTCTCTTCCTTGGTAAGTCACTGGAAACTGAGGTTCCTTTAAACTTGTTTGTAGTTGATTGATATTCATCTTTGATCCCTTCTATTCTAACATGACATACAGAAATGGAGAAAAGCAATACTTGCATGCTGAGAGCACCTGGACAAAAGATGCTAGAGTGAGAATAAATAACCAGTATATATCAGTTTACATGAGTAATACATTTAGGAACTGCAATTAATTTAGAAGTCTGTTTTCCAAGCACTCAGTTATAGTTCTTGGGAGGGTGTCTCAAAAGAAAGCTCTAGCAATGTGTGGCAAAGACTCTTCTACGGTCTAGAGGAAAAATCTGTTTCTTCTGATCTACTATCAGATCAAATACCTGGTCAGTCTTTTAAAATACTCAAATAAGAGGTAGTCAACAGAGATTTACAAATGGATTTCTTTACTTTTACAATAACGCCTGTTCAGACTTTAGCTAGTAATGCAACAATCCAAAAAGTTTAAAAGCTGGTAGTATATAGAGAACAATTTATTTGACTTACTCCCAAATGATATTTTTGGAATGTGAGAAGTCACCTCAATGTGAGACACATTAAGATACATGAACTAATTTACATACAAAAAAGTGAACTTGCAAATATATTCAAAAGATGATCAATAAAACATCTAGAAATATGAATGAAAAGAAACTTCAATTGTGGTAGTTAAAATAAATATGACTAGAATTAGTAAGCATTTTATCCTTTTTCTACATTATTGCACAGTTATAGCAGATATCTTTGAAGCCATCTTAGTTTATGAAATATTTGATGTTTGTTTCTGTTAAAAAACAGATTTGAGTTACCGGATTTGAGTAACATAATTATTTTACAGTATCTTAATGCCAATACTCTTACAGAAGAGAGCAATACCATATCGAGAGAATCTTATGGAAAAATAATCATAACAACAACTTGCGATACAGAATGAACACATTTAGTGGAAATACCGAATATGAACCTAACAAGTAAATTAATGATGCTAGTGAATTCTCTTTCTTAGTGGATGACTTTCTAAATTCATCACTCCTTTCCATTTTCAGAACTGGGGGAATTAAAAATCTTCCCTACCAATATCTTCCGCCATTTGAGCTATTCTGTGATGATCAGTACTCAGGCCACTATGTTAGGAATTCATGAACTAAAAAGAAGTGGCTGTTGATCGGAGACTGTTTAATTTTAGTTCAGGCATAACACTACCCCAGTCTCTCAAATGTCTGCAACATAGTGTCAAGTGCATCAAAGTAATGCCTAGAAGTGACTGGTAAACCTAGGATCTCCGAGGCAAGAACAGCAAAGGGAGGATCACAACAGCTTTTCCAGGAAAAATTATGGCATGGAGTTGGTCACATTTTCCCAAGGAGTAACAGGAAACCTGTTTCCTTTCCTGAGCAGGGAAAAAGAACTATACAGACCCCTCAGCAAGCACGGGTGTCTGAACAGACCTAGCGAGCTATGTTGCCCCAAAACCCAAAGAAATCCTCTGAGAAGTTTCTTTCTATAACCGGCCTTTTATAAAGTGTCTCTCTCCCTTTCCAGTGTTGGTGAATCATTCATGTTGCTGGCGACAGTCCTTGTGGCAGATTCTTCCCCACTGTCAGATCAGACACTGAGTTGTAAATTACGTTTTCCTTCTGCACATAAATAGTATAAGGTTCCACTTCCATTGTGTCATCCTAGCAAAACAAAACCAAAAACTGTAAATAGTTTGGCAATACCCTGCATGCCTTTTGTCTGGACTGAAGAATTTAAGTGGGAAATAGTGCTCCCATATTTATTCCTCTTGGCCTCAAGAAAACAAAACACCTCTATTGCTTTTTCTACCGAAGAACATGTATTGCTGTTTCTGTCAAAGATTTGGAGGGTAAAGATGAGGAATTGGTTCACTTGCCTCCTTTTCCTCCCCTTCTACCTCACTTTGGTCTGAAGAAAAAAATGTACTAGGGTGTAATTCTCTAGAAAAAACAAATAGTATGCTAGAGTCTTGACAGTGACTCTATCAGCCTACAATTTCAGACTACAAACGTGCTAATGAAAGTTGCATGACATGACAGCAGAAACACTGGGACTTAACCATTATTTTACATTAATGCAACTGCACCTGTCAGCAACAGCTGGGAGGCAAGGCAGCAGAACAAGAAGAATAAGAATAACAACTAGCATTGACTAAGTCTTTTCAGAAACCAGAACTGAAGCACCTTTTTAAGTTGATGACAGAATGTGAGCCTAGTGTGTACAGTAGATGCACGGATATTCACAATATAGTCTTGACACATCTTGCCTGCATAGAAATGCTGTTATTTATATTTGGCAGTAGAGAACAGACAATTCTCTTTCTCTTCATCAGCGACTGTAGTGATAGGACAAGGGGTAATGGGTTCAAACTTAAACGGGGGGATTTAGGTTAGATATAAGGAAGAAGTTATTTACTGTGAGGGTGGTGAGGCACTCAGGTTGCCCAGAGATGCTGTGGCTGCTCCATCCCTGGTAGTGTTCAAGGCCAGGTTGGAAGGGGCTTAGAGCAACCTGTCCACTGTTTGGTCCAGTGAAAAGAGTCCCTACTCATGGCAGGAGGGTTGGAACTGGATGGACCTTTAAGGTCCCTTCCAACTGAAACCATTCTAGGATTCTATGAGCAGAGACACAGAGCTGATGATTGAATTGCTCAGCTACACAGGAAAACTGTAAGAGCACAGAGAGTTCAAGAATACCTCCCAGCTGGCAGCTCAGCAATCTTTCCATTGTTTTATAAAATGTTTTGTCTTGAGTATGGTTTGTTCTTTGGTTGTGGAAAGACCATACAAGGTAGAGAGTGGCCCTCAAAATTTGCACATTATCATTCTGGAAACCAAGAGGGATATTCTTTTTTTTTTCTTTCTTCTTTTTTTCCCCTGTGTCTGTTAGTTTTGTTGGTTCATCCTCTCTTTTACTAATAGCTTTCTTAATATTCCACAACCCATGATACTGCCTCACTTCCTGAGTACAGCAGTTGTGGTCAGTGTATCTCATATGACCAGGGAGACCCCAGTGGTAGGATTCACTCCTTGTTAAGATAAAGCATGGCAGTTGCTGAGGAACATGCTTCTAATGTTTGCTCAAAGTCGAAATTATGGTGATGATAAGCTTTGTTTTATCCTGAGATACAGCTAAAAGCAAACATCTGAGATGCAGTAGCACCCGCTGAATGCAGATTAACAATCAAATGGTTTCCTTTTACTGACCATGTTTTCAGGGCTACCAGAAGATCCATGATTCGTTGATGGTCTAATTTGCATTGTTCTCCTTAACTGTGGTGTTTGCCTGTTTTGGGCAGTTTCAGAAGGTTTGGTTTTGTAGCATGGTCTGTGGAAAAGAAAGAAAGGATTAAATCAAATTCCCTCCTAAATCCTAGGCTGGGCTGGATCACAGGCTGGTTTCTTTGATGACAAGCTTATGAAACATTTCTTTTTCCTGTCATCAAGAGTAAAACAAAAAAGTCTTCTCATGTATCTCTCTCCTTGACTTTTGATCCTGGTATTATGGCACCCTGACTTTCTTTAGAGGTCTTTTTCTCATGTTTGTGTGTTTGTGGGAGCTTAAGCACAAAGTAGAAGCAGAAGATTTAAAACCAAAGTCTTCTGGAAGGTTGTACAATTTGCAGTTAGAATGGATTGAACTAATTCTTCACCTTGAGGGAGAAGGTTTGGGAGAAAAAACAGGTTTGGAATAGGGGAAAGAGGGAGTGTAGCTGAGGTTTTCAGTACAGGTGCTAATTCAGCCTTTCTCTGCAAAAGTGTAGTTTTTCCTTGGAACTGCTCCTTCCTCCATAGCAAATCCTAATGGGGCTGGAGCCCAGGTTCAGCCAGGGAGCTTTTTCACAAACACAGATAGAGTCTGCTGCCCCCTCTGCTGATACGGCAGGATAGCACTGGTCACTCCTCGGGCACTTGGTAGAAATTAACAGGCAGGAGAACCAAACCCCTGATCTAAACAGGAGAGACACTGACAGACTGTCACAGTATTTGAAGAACAACTGTACTCTCCCAGTTTCCTATTACAATGAAGTCCCCCTTATTCTAGCAGGCAATGAAATGAGGATCCTCTGCCAGCTTCTGCCTATTTATATTTTCCTCAGGTGCACCATTCAGTGAAGATGTTTGCAGCGGACAGTGCTTGCAATACAGAAATATTTGATATGGTTAATTCAGTTATTTATAGCAGGCCAACAGAATCGTATGATTTCAAGACACAGACAATACTTAAAGATTTCTTCTAGCACTAGACAATCTTTCCTTACCTCCCTATCATACATACCTGTTGCCACGGAGCTTAAAATAGTAAATGACAGCCATGAAGGTTAAAACACTCAGGAAACAAAGAAAAATGGAGGCATGCAGGATAAAGCTGGTCTCTAAACACAAAAAAAAAGTTAGTTATATCTTCTCACTGCTCAGTTTATTATTTCAGTATAAGATTAAAACTTATTAGCATATACACACATTTTCAGCATGCCTGTAAGATAAATATAATCCCCTTCAGCAGAAGGGAAAGTCAGTAATGAAACTTGTCTCAGAAACACAAATGGAGTTTCTGTCAAAACCCAAAGCAGATCCCACGAATCCCCCCCAGTGCACACTTGGAATGTTTTTTTCACTAAGCCACACCTGAGCTCCTCTCAAGGACTCAGCATATCCCAGTACTGCAACTTGTTTAGTTCTCAAAAGCAGAAGAAAAAAAAAGCAAAAATCAGAAAGAAATGTCATCCAGTGTCAGACAGTCCCAACTTGGAATGAAGTGATTTATTCGTTTCATCTGGCCACATAAGAGTTGGTTCTCTTTCTCTCTCTTACCATGACCTGAGCAAGAGACTTTACATTTGCATCAAAAAAATGTTGCTGATGTTCAGCTTCCAAGTGATTATTTTAACACTAAGCTCATGACTGCTTTTTTTTGTGATTCCAACATTTCCACTGCAAAACAAATACTACCATACTCATGTATATCCCTCTTAGGGAAGAAACCGTTAGGATATAGTGCCTGGAACACGAACAAGTTGGTGATGTTCCTGGGCAAAGGTAGTTAGGGATGGTACTCTTGTCTATACAGAAATTCACTGAAGGTTTCTATAGTCCTATAGATTTTCCTTCCTAGAAGGAACAAGAGTGTGCACAGAAGGCTAAACAAGGTTCGAATGCTAAATGCAGAAAGGGAAGCTCACCTGAGGGACGACAGGCTATGGAGTTGCTCTGGTTCCCAGCTGGGTGGAACATGAAGCAGGTTGCGTTAGTCACATTGCTGCCATGTGCTGTGAACTTGCTGACCACAGTCACCGTCCCGTTGTCATGGCCTTCTTCCCTGGGGGTAAAGCTGCTCTCCAGGACCCAGGAGATCCGAGCAGCTGGCCTCCCTGCCACTGCCTCGCACACAGGGCTCCCATGGTTATCGCAGTACAGGGTCAGCGTGGGGGGGACTGCAAAGCATCAGGAAGGGGAGATGCATAGAGTTAGTTTGCTGCAGCTGGGATAGGATGTTCTTGTTCTCTACCCAAAATGAACAGGGGGAAAAGAGAAGGACTTTGGAGGTGCCATTTCATTACAGCAACATGGGCCAAAGACACAAGAGACAAAGTTTGTGCCTCTTTTTCCCTTTTGGGCAGCTCTTGCCCATTCAGGTGGGTTACCACAGCCATGCACCATTAGAGGAAGTATCCCTGGACACTGTGGTAGGGAATTATGCCAACTGCAGGGCTGAATTAGACTTTCATCCTAAGCAGCCATTGTACACATGGTTTAAAATGTATCTGAATGTATCTGAACGCAGATGAAGAAATGAGTCTGTTTGTACTGTCTAGATAAGAACATCCCTTTGATAGAGCAGCTCAGCACTTGGAATTGTTACTCTCATATGCTTTAGTTCTCTTAAGTTAGTGCATTAAGGATTGATTGCACAGGGTAACAGGAAGTATATGCAGAATGCTCTTTTAGTGTATTGGAAATTGCTTCATGCCTATCATTTCTAACTAGGCAGTGGAAAAACAGGAAGCAGAAGGGAGAAGAGTTTTGGGAAATAAGAGTGACACAGCATTACAATCAGTGAAATGCATGACAGATTATCCCAGCAGGAAGACACCTCTTCTTACAGCACACTTCCCCTGGTGCATGGAGAGAAGAGGTTTGTACATCCAGGCCCATACCTGGTCCTCCGGAGATCTGTAAAATGAGGAAGGAGCTCCTTACCCAGCACGGTCAGGTGGTGTGTCTCATGGAAATTCCCTTCTGTTGATACTACTTCACAGATGTAATTTCCCTCGTGGGCTATTCCCACTTGTTGTATCTCAAGGGCAGGGTCCTGATCTGGTCTGAACTTCCAGTTCATGCTGTTGCTGCAGTTGGTTCTGTCTGTCTTGTTCTGATCGCTCCTGTATCCCAAGGTGCAGGGGCCTCCAACCCTGGGGCTGATTTTCCATGTTACCATAGTTCTATTTGATTTGGTAGGGCAGGTGAGCACAGAGCTGTTACCTACCGTCACTGACACTCTTTTGTTCCCTGAAGGAGAGAAAGAAGGAGAAGGACGTGTGAGAAGGTGCCCAGGGATGTCACTCATAGCCCTGGAGTTCTGGTCTATGCTTCACAGGGAAGTGTCACACGCCGGTGTGAGGCCCTGTCTGCACTCATGGGCAAGTTGTCTGCCATCTCATAATACAGCTGCGGATTATGGAGCCAGTGGCCTATCACAGCCAGCCCTCTCAACACTATCAACTGATTTGCCACTGAGGCTCGTGTTAGGGGATAAGACAGACAGTGGAGGAAGACCCTGCTTCTGCCCATTGTCTTAGGCAGTTCAGCACCTGAATAGTGTGCCTCTGTTGGCAAATCCTCCATTGGCTGTCACCGCTTACAGGCTGAAATTACAGAAATGTAACTATTGCATTTGGCCACATGATAATGACTTTTCTGGGGAACTGTTGCACCAGTGAAGTAAGCAACTTTTACTTCTGCATTCATACAAAATCCAGCACTGCTGGCAGAGGCCTGCACCTCCCAAATACGACCGCAGTATAAATGACAATGACGGAGCTTGTGGGGGAGGAAAGGTTTTTGTCTTATGTGTCAGGGGTGTCTTTTTATTTTTTGAATCTTTGTGAACATATACATTCACACTATGACTGTATACAATGTGTACCTATGCATTCACACCATGACTGTACTGGTTTTACTGCAGCAGTCCCCACGGGACATGAATGTAAGTCCCACCCATCTTTGTGCCAGATACGCAGCTGTGAACATGTGAAATATTCCATATCCCTGTGCCTCTTGCTAGTGAGGTTAAGATTGCAGAGAAACTTTACTCCATTGATATATCAATTCTGTGGACTCTCTAGCAGTGAGCATGTCTTATTCTTGAATTCTGTTTTGCATTTGCTTGGAAACATTTTCTATTTTATTATTTTTTCTTTCTATGACACTGACTCTTCTTTTAGCTTGTAAAAGATAACTCTTGCTTGAAGTCAGGCACAATACCTCCTGTCCTTATCTTTTCATGATCCATGAGCTATATACTTGAAGCCAACTCTCTGTGTAGAAAAGCTTGAACCTAGTCCTTTTCTCCTTTTTGAAAGTTATCACACTGGCCACTGAAAGAGCTGGCCCACTATTATGGCCCATCTGTGTGCTCTGTTTGTTCAAGACAAGTTACACCCATGGGATTGCCTTAGTTTATTTATTTGTTTTGTTTTTTTCTTATGGGTCCCCCAATTTCTTAGCGAGAAACCAATCTGCCTGGGTTTTCTTTTTCCATGAACTTGCAGAACTGATTCTCTTTTGCACATATTGGACATGAGTCATGCTTGCTCTTTTTATATTCACCAGATTTGGGATCCCCTTGGGTGAAGACATTTCCAAATCCAGACCTTGCTCATGCAGGCTGATACGTAGCTGCAATATTGCTCCACACTACACCATACAGTGCTGTAATGTATTAGTTACTCCAGCTGTGTAACGTGTGTATCAGAGTGTAATTCTGAGAAGGTTGTTTGTTTCGTTGGTTTGTTTTTTGTGTTGGTTTTGTGTTTTTTTTTCTGGTAGAAAAGGAAAATTAGGTGGGGATAATATTTCACTGAAGCATCCACTTCCCTTTTTTATTAAATAAAGGAAATAATACTTAGCTTCCTGCTTCTCAATACTGCCAGGATTCATTGATTAATGTTCCCAAGCACAGCTGAAGAAGGAAAGTCTATCTATTCACACCATTTTCTGATACATGAATTACCCACCAGCGCCACAAATGCTCTTTCCTTAATTCAATTGCCAACAGTGTTCTGTGATGCAGTATCACACTGGAAATGTTTCTAAATCATGAGGTTTTTCTACTTAATGGCATTTCAAGGTAACACAAGGTATGCATTTTAAACTCAGATGATTTTACCAGGAGAGGAACTGAAAGAAGCCTTTTGTTTCATGATGGTTTCTGGATGTGAGTCCTATGATTATCTCTGAAAAATGGAGAATAAAGTGTTTCCTCTCCTAGTTTAACAGTGCTGAGAGTCTCAGAGCACTGAGTTATGTCACCAGTATGGCTGACCTCATCTGAAAATGACTAAGCATTCAAACAGCCTGTATGTTGGGGCTGGGGTTTTTGGATAATGTTTGCAAATGCTGCTCATGAGTGACAATGTTGAGCGTATTTAACTGTGTGCACTTTCATTTACATATTAAAGCAGTACCATTTTACTCATCTTTCAACTCTGCATCTCCTAAGCCACAATGTACAAGTTCCCCAACATAACAGCCTGTGTGCTTCAAGACTGTAAAGAAAGAGGGAGCAAAGGCAGTGCTTCCTGCTATGACTTTCTGTCATATTCTCCCCTGAATGAATCAAGTACAATTCACTTCAAATGATAAGCCACATCAGTCAGCTTAAAATCTGCTGAATCATGTTTAAAAGCAATATTAAGTTTACAATAAAGTTGTAGAGGGATTCTGAATTCCTCTGTATCATGTTCTTTTTCTCGGACCATCTCTGTGCCACTGTTTTTTGGAATGGTGCTTTACTGTAAAATGGCTAAGAGCTGCTAAGGTATCCTCTGTAATAGCTGATTAGTTTATGACCAATGCATTAGGGTGTATATGCCATACACATTGACATTTATATATTCAAACAGCGGCTCAGAAACAAGCCAGTACATTGCACTGATACTTCTCTCAAGGTGAAATCCCATGTTATAGCTGAGCTGAACTCACAGCTTGCTGTAGCTGAAAAAGGGGATAACCAGTGCAGCAAAGGCCTCACTCTCTGTGGGCTTAAAGAGAACAAGAAATTTGAAGAGGTGTGAGCTGTCAAGCTCATATCAGTGCAGTGATAATCACAGGACAATCATCAAATGTCAGTACCGTTAACTATTTCATTGTACGTGAGAGAGGTGGAATGAAGGATCATATATCTATACATTTATTGTAAAGAACTCCTCATTTCCAGTCTCATTCTTCAAATTGGGTGGACTCTGAAAAACTGCAACCATTTTTTCTGTTAGCCAAAAAGAGCAAACAAAGCTCAGGAGCCAGAAGTATGTGCTGTTTGTCACAGTGATGTAGAAAATAGGTGAGTTAGATTGCAGGAGTTCTGTACAGCTCCAGGCTGAGCCATTCTACTTTGGTTACGGATGCAAATCTATCATGAGCAGGTTCCACCTTGGAGACTCATCTGACACATGGGTAGGGTAGGAGGCCTTCAGGCTGAAGTCTTCCAATTTGAATCCAGCCTCCCTGAAGTTCATCTGATTATAATACCAGTAATATTATGCCATCCCTCATTGTTTCTTCTTGACTGCTGAAGATTTTAAGCCATGTCTGAGGAGGTTCTCAAGCGCTATTGAGTGCACATTCCAATGCACTTTCAGATTCCACTTTTATGTTTGAAAATGGATATATCCTCTCTCAGAAAAAAACAAACTCAGTTGAGGAGTTCATATTTTTGTTTCAGAAATGTGCTGGTTACTGTTGTCATGTTAAAATCACTGTAATTGAAAAGGCTGTGAGAAAGACTTTTCTCTGCCCTTTGTGTTCGACAGCTCTTGTAGATAACTATTTGTATTAGTTCCTTTGCAGTGTCACTTATTCAGTGTTTTTTTCTGCTTCTCAGAGTCCTTCTCACAGTAAAAGGAGAAAGAAAGATTTTAAAAACAGGAAAATTTGATTGTGAAGCCCCTAAAATTTTCAGGGGGAATCACTGCAAAATCAGATACAGTTATGCAGCTTAAAGGGCTTTTGATTCCTTTCAAGTAGGAAAGATTTCCAGTCTCTCTTTGTAGCAGGTTTTAACCCACAGTACAACTTTTTGCTGCCCCCAAAATGACTCAAGTTCCATGACAATCTCTGCAGAAATTTAGCTGTTTTTCACACTGTTTTACTTTCTCAGACATAATCCTATTGTGTCTTTATTTCTTACAGTAAAAGTCTACCACAGTTTTCTGGTGCATCTCTCCCCTCCCTCTGCAGATTGTGGCATATTAAATTTAGAGATATAATGAACTGAAACAATGATCATACCACAAGCAAATGACTAACTGTGTCTTGGAATGAATATATTATATGAGTCATAGCAAGTCATTATCAAAAAGGCAGTACTGGATGCTTGGAAGAGGTCAGATAAACAAGCTGAGCTCTGCATCTGTTTTGCCCTTCCATAGAGTGACTGCTACACTTAGCAAGGCTTGTCTGGAATTAAGTGAAAGATAAACAGATAGAAGTGCTTTGTACTAGGGTGGGGATTGCTAAAGTACTCACAGTTTGCTCATGGTCGCTTTGTGGCTCTGAAAACGTAGCCACAACAGCACAGGACAGAGAAAATAAACCCTGCATGTTAGGTGAGCAGTAAGTAGAGTACTCTAATTTCCATGGTAGAAATACATGAACTAGCTGGCCTGAGCTCATATGACTGTTTCTTGAAGCTATGATCGCAGCTTTTTCAGCATGGTGGTATCTTAAAGAGGTTTAGTTTCCTACTCACACTCATCTGCAATCATTATTATTCCTAGAAAATATCTCCTATTCCCATTTCAATGCACTGAAGTAAGGGTCTTTTCTGAGGTTTTATTTCTACCCTCACATAGATGGACTATGTCTCAAACATGACTTCATAAAAAAAGGGATGGGTACAATTCTTCAATGAAGGAATTAGTTGGTGTTTAAATGATGTGTTAGAGTCATCCATCTTGCAGAACAAACACTGTTGGCCAAATCCTCAACTGATAATAAACCATCACTGAATTTAACAAGCTGTCACATATTATATCAGTCTGGCTGTAAACTTTGCATAGCAGCTTCTGTGTGCGAAGTAAGTAGATCTTTGTCCTGGAATGGGTGAGGGGAAAAGAGATTTACACTGGATGTCAAAGTGCCTTGGGTAGTATTTCTTTCAACAGCATTATGACACCATGTGTAATGAAGTGCAAAGGCCCCCTATTTCTCAGTATAGAAACAAATGCAGAATGGTTTATATCATTTTATATTTGTCCTGCATTCTGAACTTGGCCTTTTACTCTCTTCCTAATGAGAAGAATAAAAAAACCATGTTGTAGTGTTTGTGCTTGAGTGGTGTTTTCCTGCTATTCTAAACAAAAATAGATCATTATCTGTAAAAGGTAGGTTGCATGCCCTCTTTTTCATACTTAGCAGAGAGCAGATGAGGGACAGTATGAAAATATGCCTATGACCTCACTTTTTTTTGGTTAAAATCTGAGTTATACTTTGCTTAGTGATTAGCTTTCGCACAGTACTTCCTAGCGTTTTCTTACTCAATACGAAGATAGGGCAGCATAAGAAGATTCTCTACACTTCTTTCTTATGAATGGCTGTATACAAAGCATATCAACTTTGAGTTTTAAGTAGCATGTACTTCTACAAATGCATTACAAATTAAATATGATCTGTTTTGTGGTCATAGAGAATGTGGTCAGCTTCCAAGACTGAACTTCTTTGCTTCCATGGTTATGAAACTAGACACATTCAGACATTGTGTTTGGACCACAGCAAAGTAAAATATTAATGTCAAAAGGACATGCTTTGAAGACTGCACTAGGGCAATTTAGATCTCTCCTGAGAAAAATTTTTGCTTAATTTAATAGTACAGAATTCTGTTTTAAGCATTTGGGGAAGAAAACCAGGCTGTTTGGATTTAGGTGTTTTTAGGGTAAAAGAAATCAGAATGATTCCAGCACATAGACCCAAAGGCACACCAAAGAAATAGTGAAATTAAGACAAATGTAAGTTTGCCAGAATAGGTTTTTAGGCTATGATTTTTTATATTCAGATCAAGATTCCAGTAAACTAGAATAGGTGGCAGGAAAGACAGAAGCACTGAAACACAGTAGACGTGAAAAAATAGAAGGCAATAAACCACTAGTACACTAGTGAAAGAGAATTTACAACTTGTGTTAAGGGAAGAAATGAAATGAAAGTAGTAACATTCAAGAAAGTTATGTATGTAGGTAAACTTGAACACTACTAGCCAGGTAGCTCTGCAACTCTGCTTCTATTCACCTCATGCACTCTAATTCCAGCACTGATGCAATGCCACTGACTTCAGTTTTTTACTATTGATAAAAACCACAGGGAATCACGTCATTACATTACTGACAATGAATTTCTTGCATCTTTTCTGAAGCACTTGGGCATATCTGTTGTCACAGGATACAAGTGCAGATGCAGGACTTACACAGTCTGACATGGCAAATGTTAATCCAATATAAAGAGATTTTTTGCATGAACCTGTCATTGAAGGTCTTGCCCTCCCTTATCCCCTTTTCTTTGGAGTATGCACACAACCGCCTTAGTTAAACTAGAGAAGGAAGTCTTCAGAGTGTTATGAAAAATGTTTTGAGTCTTTTCCACTGCTGCTTTTATGAGGATTACCACAGGAGGATTGTTAGTACAGATCATACACCAGCAGCTTCAGTAGTATATTATGCAGCTTTCTTTGGGGACGGAGGTAGATATGACAATCATAAAGCCTTGCTTCTGAGCTGCCCCTTCTGAAGTTGTGAAAACTAACCAAACCACACAAACCAACATGCTAAGGAAATGTTAAGGAAAATGCTAATGCAGATAAAGTCTGGTTACACACAACAATTTTTGCATGACCTTATTTCATTCAGAATAGCTTGCTCTAGTCTTCACTGTAGTTCCTTCTGAGCTTCATAGAGTGAGATTCTCAGATAGAATACACACATTGACACCTTTAGCCTGTGGTCTCAAGAAAAAACTGAACACTACATGCTGCTCAGAACAGCCACCCTAATATTGAAGGAAACATGTTTAAGAGCAGTGTCAGCCGAAAACTTCCCATCAAATGTGGGCTGCTTTGTATGTGGGTGGGAGGTTCAAGCGTGAAACTAGATTTTAACTGAACATTTTTCCTAGTTATTTGAAGGGGAATATCATTAATTCACCAAAACACCAAAGAGTAAAATCCAATTACATTTTAGGTGGAAAAAAAACACCCAACCCCCCCAAAAACCCCAAAATGTTTGGCATTGGATTCTTTTTAATATTTCCAGAAAAATCAATTTAAAAAATAATTTTTGTCAGTAAGATTCCCCTTTGCCTCACCCATTTTCTTCAATATTTTGTGAAATGTCCATCCTCCTTTACTTTTTGAGCAGTTGTGTTAAAAACATATAGACTATCTCTGATGCTACCAGAATCAGGTATGTCCCTGAATGGGCTCCTCAGTATTCTTCTGATATAGTTATTTACCTACAGAATTGGGACAGGATTTTTACCTCCAGTGTACTTGTTGTGAGTTTATTGATGCCATGTTTAATAATGTTTGTAAAGTGTTTCATTTTATTTCTCTAATGGATAGCATTGAGGTAACCGTTTTGGATCCCTCATTTGACCAGCTACATACATTATATATGGGTGTTCTCTCACTGCCAACAATGACTGCATCAGTTGTTCTTTAAAATATGACCAAGGAGCCATTTTCACTTTCTGGAAAAGTGGAATGGAATAACCCATGTCCACGCAGTTTAGTTCTACCTGTGCATAATAAGAATGCTCTTATTCAGAGATGTCCCCACTTTAATTTGGATCTCACAAACCTATCTGCCTTCTCCTCTATACACAGACAGTTTAGCTTTCTGGAACTGCTGCTCAAGTCTCTAGGTCTATTACCAAGTCCCCGGATTGCTGTGTGGTGTCTGAAAGGACACAAACTCTAGAAATGCAAATGAACAGTATGTGGCAGACATTAGCTGCTGTAGCTAAAACTAAGTCTACTACACTAAAAGATGGGGATAGAAAGGCTTAGGAGTGCCACTGTCTTTGGCACAGACTTCTTTCCCGTTCTTAATACTGACCATGCCCATTAGCCTTAGAACGGAATTCTAACTGCTCACTAGTGTCATTCCATCAGTGATCTTCCACCACTTCTCAGAAAGATGCAAGAGATCCCTGCCATGTTCCAGAGTATCCTGCAGCCTGTCTTCAGCAGAAACTAAACAGCCAAAAGCTTCAAGTTTACAAACACTTTCCTGGGCATATTTTTAATATGTCAAATGGATCCATTTCTCAGATCATGTGGATTTAGAGGCCATCTGTGACAAAAGGTACGTGCCCAGCTAAGGTTCACGAAATAACTGCCTACATGAAAGTCACGGATATAATGCCTGGCCCTCCTGTGACCACTAAGAAAAGAAGAGCAGGAGAAGGTATTGGGGAAGCATTGCTTTAGTTGCGCTCCATAATTTTTAGCAATTAAAGTCACAGCATTAAGAATAGCCTTTATGGAAGAAAGTATCTGTACATATTTCCCTTTGTTCCATCCTGATGGCTGATTGGTCCCAGTTAGACTCACCTACTGTTCTTGTGATCTTGGTGATGGTGAGCAGCACAAAAACACACACAGTCTTCCCAGCAATATTCATGTCGGCTCCTGCTTTCATAGCCCACCTCCAGCCTAGCTGTGGTCATGGGGAGTGTTTCTTGCCTGCCAGTGCATCCTCAGCAGCCAATGTCAGTGTTTTCTCTCCCCCTTTCTCACTCCTTTCCTCTAGCGCTGTGTGTTCCTGATCGACTGGCTCCTCAAAGCTGGAGAGGTTCCTCCTTCTGACTTCTCAGAGCACTAGGCTTCCTGTGCAGAGAGCCTAGGCAAACGCTGAGGAAACAGACTGAATAAGTCTGCCTTCCGTTCATTGGCTCTCCTCAGGGTGCTGATGAGTGAAGATAAACCCTGCAGCAGAGCTCAGAGGGGGTAAAAACAGAGGAGATTATTCAAGGCTGAGTTTAATATCAAAAAAGAAATCTTAGTCTTGGGAAGCTAGAGGGAAACTTACTCGTCATAGTCGTCACTACTACGCCTACTGCTACTACTTCTTTGTCACTGCCTCCAAGAAAATTCCTCCTCATGTCTGCCTTGAAAAAATAAGCAGTCTCAAGCCTTCTCTGTAAGTGACATTTTCAATGATTTCTCCCTTCAGTAGCTAATTAGCTACTGGCAGCATAGTTCTCATCTTGAACAACAAGGCTTTCCAGACCCTCAGGGAAGAAACTGACTTTTGAGGAGAAAGAAAGGCCTCTTTTACATGCTTTTCAACTGAAATAATAAAGAAACTGAAGCTGGTCCACATCTTTCACTGAAAAACTGGAGGTTTTTTTCCGAATATTGTTTTGTGGGTTTTTTTAAACAATACTGTACCTGTTTCCCCACTTCCTCACTGATCTCATCATTTCAGGTTCAAGGTTCCTTTTCTTTTCTTAAACCACAGTATTTCTGCAGCTCAGTTCTGTGGGCCAGCAACAGAGAAAAGGCCTCAGCTGTTGAAAGCTACGAGTCAGAATAACCAGCACTGAGGACAGAGACATAAGAGATAAAGACAGAAAATAGATCAAAGTTAGCAGGAAATCGAGCTGCTCAGGAGCTAGGACTGCACACCATGTTTGAACATCGGCAAGCTGTACTTATGACTGTAGTCTGACGTTCTGGTAATTTTATTTGATCAGGTTGGTGTTCCAAAATGGTCTGCACTGATACTCCTATGGAAATAAGTAAAAACCAAAGATTGATAATGATCATATAAAGAAAATTAGGTAAGACAGAAATTCAGCTTGATCGTTTTGGTCTCAGGATCATCTCATTGACTACAGTTTTGTGTGGGAGGGTGTTCTGTATATTTTTTCCCACTTGATTTTTTAAATTCAATAGATGTCAATTACATTTTGACACTCCACACTGTTCTGAGGTTTTCGAGATGCTATCAAAGTAATTTCGGTTTATTTTCTGAGTATTTACCACTGACCTACAAATACGTAAGGCTTGTGAATAGGTACAATAGCTGTATTTTAGACAAGGGCATGGAGAGGAAGAAGGGGTGTTTATGCAAATAGAGATTAAGCTACAAGGCTGAAGAGAGAACTAAACAACAAAAAAGCAGTATGAGGCTTCAAATGTAAAAGAAATAGTGCTCAAATTTGATGTAAAGGCAAGGAAGCTAAGGTGGTGTAAATGTGCAGACGTGGCATATTGGCTAGATGATTGCTGCATGAACATAAAAAAAATAAAAGATGTGGTGGGATAGAGGATATTTTGTAAGAGAGCAAACTGTCAAAAAAAAATCTTACTTTAAGTTGTCATAATGAAAGGTCTCTGCCATTCCTATAAGAATACATTGGGAACCAGAAGACAGATAGCTGGATTCTTTTGGTAAACAAATATTATTTCAGGTGTCATTAAGATGCTTTGGAAGAAAATTTCTGGTTGGAGCCTTGGTTTCTAGGAAGAAGTGAAGGCTTCATATGAGAAGGTGTGGTGGGTTGACCTTGGCTGGCTGCTAGGTGCCCAGCAAACCTCTCTGTCATTCCCTCCTCCTCAACTGGACAGGGAGACAAAAATGCAACAAAGGCTCGTGGGTTGACATAAGGACAGGGGGATCACTGAACCATGGGCAAAACAAGATGGCCTTTGGGGCAGTGGCATGGTTTACAGGGTATGTTTCTGGCCAAGTGGTGGTTGCTTCCACCACAGTAAGTATGTAGCACTTGCCTTGGAGTGTTCTTGCAGTGGTCCAATATAGTCAATTTGCCAGACCTCTTCATATTGAAAACCCAGCCACCATCCTCTATTCCAGGGAGATTTTCCTCATGTGGCTTGTTTGATTGCAACATGTTTCACATTCACGAGTGACCTGTGTGATGGCCTACACGGTCAGGTCCACCCCTTGATCATGTGCCCATCTGTATGCTGCATCTCTCCCTAGAAGTTTCCATGTTGAGTAGATCCACTGAACTACAAATAGCTCACCTTTATGCTCCCACCCTAGGTCCATCTGATCTGCTTCAATTTTGACAGCCTCATCTACCTGTTCATTATTTCGATGTTCTTCGGTGGTATGGTTTTTGGGCATGTGAGCATAACATACCTTTGAAGCGATGTTTTCTACCCGGGCTGTGATGCCTTGCCACAGTGGAGCAACCCAGATGGGTTTACCTCTATGCTTCCACTGCTGTAGCCACTCCCACAAGGCAATAGCCACCATCCACGTGTCACAGTCAGACAGTTTTCTTGTTCAGCAATCTCTCAGGCTAGTTTGATGGCTTTTACTTCTGCAAACTGACTTGACTTACCTTCTCCTTCAGTGGCTTCAGCAACTTGCCATGTGGGACTCCACACATCAGCTTTCCACTTCTGATGCTTGCCTACAACACAACAAAGGCGTTATGCTCAGTAAATACAGCATAATGCCTTTCATCTTCTGATAACTCATTATACAGTTGTGCCTCTTGGGCACAAGCCACCTCCTCAGGCAATGCTCCAAAATCTCTGCCTGCTGGCCAATCCATGGTCTTTTCCAGGATTTGTGGGTGGTTGGGTTTCCCCAGTCAAGCCCACTGCATGATCAACCTCACCCACTTAGCACTGATTGCATCATGTGTAGAGGGGATGTTTTCTTTGAACACCCAGTGTAGCATGGGCAATAGCAGTGCCAAGAGGAGAAGTACTTCTATACCAGCAACTTATGAAGTTGCTTGAACCCTCTTGTATGTTGCTGAGTATCTCTTTTTCAGTTGATGTGTTGTGGGCTTCTGATCCTTGACACCTCAGCTCCAAAACATTGGGTTTCTCCTGATGTTTTCTACCAGAGGCTCCAGCTGAGACCACGCTCTCTGGCTGCAGTGTAGAGTATATTTAGCACAGCTAAGTCATCATTTGCTACCTCATGAGTCATCTCCTGTTTGATCTGCTCAAAGACTTGCTGCCCAAGGCCCCACTCAAAATAGTTCTTCTTTCGGGTTACACCGTGGAGAGGGATCACAAGCTGATTAACTTGGAACATGCATTCTTCCAAATCCCACAAGGCCTAGGAGAGATCGTGTTTCTTTCTTGTTAGCTGGTGGAGACGTAATTGCTATCTTGTTGATCCTGTCCATAGTTACATGACAACATCTAGAAATCTGAAAACTGAGTCTGAGAAGTACTGCAACAGTTCCTTCTTCTGCCTTGTGAGAAATCTGCTATAGGCAGCAAAACTTGGGAAGTGAGGTAGGAGAAGCCTGTGACAGGACATGACTGAAAGCATAAATTTACCACAAGTGCTGTGTAGTTTATTTCTTATTCACTGGAGCCTTCCTCTCAGTTAAACACTGAGAACCAGGATCCCATGGCAGAGGAACTGACTCTAACATAAAGGCCAGAGTGGGACAGAGGATGTCCTAGGTAGAGAAATAATGCATGCAGCGGAGGGAAAATTGTCAGTTTGCTGGCCACATCAGTCAGAAATGTAATGTGAATTTGATGGAGGGAGGAGAAAGAAGGGGATGAACTGATTGTGATAGCTGAAGCTGAAGCCTGGGATGTAGCTGAGGATGAAGATGTTGCCAACAAGGTGCAACTAAAGATACACTTTCAGTAAATGCGCATTTCCACACAGCAGCAGAGGAAATTTAAGCATTGTTTATTTAAGGTGCTACACAGAGCCATCACAGCCTTCCCAGGGACTGAACTTTCCCTGTCTTCTGTGTTCTGAGAGCACAGATCTGGGCTCTGACTGTGGTTTTCAGTGTGGGTTACTACAGAACTATTTTATGTTAACTATCATAATGTCATCAGCTATTGTTTGACAAAGGCAGAGTCTGTGATCCGCTCTGTTTGAAGTGGTTTTACTCAGCCTTAAAGTCCTTGCTGACAGCAGATTCCATGCTAATAGCTCGTTCAACAACAAGTGCATGAACTGAAAAGCAAGATTTCAATTATCAAGGTACAGACAGAAATCAAATTAATTTCCAATGATGAAATGAATGTCAGAGTGCTGGAACCTCAGTTGGTATAAGCTTTTAGACTGTCCCAGTTCTATTGACTTTTCGTGGAGCTACCATGACTTTCTCCACATGAGAATTCTCCCTGCTGTCTCTTTCTGTCAGCTGAGGATCCTAAATCTTGGGACCATACAGAGAGCTCAAAAGGCTGCATGTAAATGAGTGAATCCAATTATGACTGGAAAAAGGGAAATATAACCCCCATTTTCAAGAAGGGGAAAATGGATGACCCGGGGAGCTAGACCAGTCAGTCTCACCTCTGTGCCTGGCAAAATCTTGGAGCAGATTCTCCTGGAAGGCATGCTAAGGCCCATGAAAAACAACAGGGTGCTTGGTGACAGCCAGCATGGCTTCACTAAGGGGAAATCCTGCCTGACCAATTTGGTGGCCTTCTATGATGGGGCTACGGAACTGATGGACAGGGGTAGAGCAGCTGATGTCATCTACCTGGACTTGTGCAAAGCGTTCGACACTGTCCCACACGACATCCTTGTCTCTCTAAATTGGAGAGACATCAATTTGATGGATGGACCACTCGGTGGATAAAGAACTGGCTGGATGGCCGCACACAAAGAGTTGTGGTCAATGACTCAGTGTCCAGCTGGAGACCAGTAATGAGTGGTGTCCCTCGGGGATCGGCGTTGGGACTGGTTTTGTTCAACATCTTTGTCAGTGACATGGACAGTGGGATTGAGTGCGCTCTCAGCAAGTCTGCTGATGACACCAAGCTGTGTGGTTTGGTTGATACCCTGAATGGAAGGGATGCCATCCAGAGGGACCTTGACATGCTTGTGAGGTGGGCTGATGCCAACCTGATGAGGTTTAACCATGCCAAGTGCAAGGTCCTACACCTGGGTCGGAGCAATCCCAGGCACAGCTACAGGTTGGGCAAAGAAGAGATTCAGAGGAGCCCTGCGGAGAAGGACTTGGGGGTGCTGGCCGATGAGAAAATGAACATGAGCCAGCAGTGTGCACTCGCAGCCCAGAAAGCCAACTGTATCCTGGGCTGCATCAAAAGGAGCATGACCAGCAGGTCGGGGAGGTGATCCTGAACCTCTGCTCTCGTGAGACCTCACCTGGAGTATTGTGTGCAGTTCTGGTGTCCTCAACATAAAAAGGACACAGAACTGTTGGAACAAGTCCAGAGGAGGGCCACAAGGAGGATCAGGGGACTGGAGCACCTCCCGTATGAAGATAGGCTGAGAAAGTTGGTGCTGTTCAGCCTGGAGAAGAGAAG